AAATTACAAATAACTTCCTCATGACTGCTGAGACCTGACTACTTTCCACTTACATTCACCTCAGTTTGACCCAATTTCCTATACCATCCTCATTGACAAACTAGTCTTCATAGAAATATCTGACACACCACAATTTAAGTCTTTATCTCTCCGGCTGTGCCCACTCTATTCCACTCAAAACATTGTCATCCCAACATTTCCCTCTTTCCTCTGGTTTACCCCAAGGCACTGTCTTTGGACCTATCCTATTTATCAGATACATCCTTCCCCTCGGTTACATATTCAGTAAAACTAACATTTAGTTTAATCATTTTGCAGATGAGACCCAGCTCTACCTTTCTACTAAACCCAGTTCATCTCCTCCCCACCTACAGGAAATCAGGTCCGGGTTCTCCAAGAACTTTATCAAACTTAACAGTGACAAAATCGAAATGCTACTTGTTGGTACCAAACCCACCCTTTTCAAAATTTAACAATTTTATTCACATTGACTACTCCTTAGTCTCTCCATCTCCCCAGGTTAATAGTCCAAGTTTGACATAAACATTAAACATTTGAAGCTCTCGACCTTGACCTCTCTAAGTGACTTTAAGAATCTGTTGGACTCCTGGCAGGGACCAATGCAGACATGTTCCTGTTTTTAGTTTTCTACATTTGTTTTAGAACCTAGCTGTCTTTAATGGATGGTAATGTACCACAGAGCTTTAAAGTTGCAGTAATTAAACCTTTACTTAAGAAGTCTGATCTTGATTCAGAAACTTTGGCCAACTAAAGACCTACAGGTCCTTCTCAAAAAATTAGCATATTGTGATAAAGGTCATTATTTTCCATAATGTAATGATAAAAATGAAACTTTCATATATTTCAGATTCATTGCACACCAACTTAAATATTTCAGGTCTTTAATTGTTTTAATACTGATGATTATGGCATACAGCTCATGAAAACCCAAAATGCCTGTCCCAAAAAATTAGCATATTTCATCCCACCAATGAAAGACAAGTGTTTTTAATACAAAAAACGCCAACCTTCAAATAATCATGTTCAGTTATGCACTCAATACTTGGTCGGGAATCCTTTTGCATGAATGACTGCTTCAATGCGGCGTGGCATGGAGGCAATCAGCCTGTGGCACTGCTGAGGTGTTATGGAGGCCCAGGATGCTTCGATAGCGGCCTTAAGCTCATCCAGAGTGTTGGGTCTTGCGTCTCTCAACTTTCTCTTCACAATATCCCACAGGTTCTCTATGGGGTTCAGGTCAGGAGAGTTGGCAGGCCAATTGAGCACAGTAATACCATGGTCAGTAAACCATTTACCAGTGGTTTTGGCACTGTGAGCAGGTGCCAGGTCGTGCTGAAAAATAAAATCTTCATCTCCATAAAGCTTTTCAGCAGATGGAAGCATGAAGTGCTCCAAAATCTCGTGATAGCTAGCTGCATTGACCCTGCCCTTGATAAAACACAGTGGACCAACACCAGCAGCTGACATGGCACCCCAGACCATCACTGACTGTGGGTGCTTCATACTGGACTTCTGGCATTTTGGCATTTCCTTCTCCCCAGTCTTCCTCCAGACTCTGGCACCTTGATTTCCGAATGACATTCAAAATTTGCTTTCATCCGAAAAAAGTACTTTGGACCACTGAGCAACAGTCCAGTGTTGCTTCTCTGTAGCCCAGGTCAGGCGCTTCTGCCGCTGCTTCTGGTTCAAAAGTGGCTTGACCTGGGGAATGCGGCACCTGTAGCCCATTTCCTGCACACGCCTGTGCACGGTGGCTCTGGATGTTTCTACTCCAGACTCAGTCCACTGCTTCCGCAGGTCCCCCAAGGTCTGGAATCGGCCCTTCTCCACAATCCTCCTCAGGGTCCGGTCACCTCTTCTCGTCGTGCAGCGTTTTCTCCCACACTTTTCCCTTCCCACAGACTTCCCACTGAGGTACCTTGATACAGCACTCTGGGAACAGCCTATTCATTCAGCAATTTCTTTCTGTGTCTTACCCTCTTGCTTGAGGGTGTCAATGATGGCCTTCTGGACAGCAGTCAGGTCGGCAGTCTTACCCATGATTGCGGTTTTGAGTAATGTACAAGGCTGGGAGTTTTTAAAAGCCTCAGGAATCTTTTGCAGGTGTTTAGAGTTACGTCGTTGATTCAGATGGTTAGGTTAATAGCTTGTTTAGAGAACCTTTTCATGATATGCTAATTTTTTGGGACAGGCATTTTGGGTTTTCATGAGCTGTATGCCATAATCATCAGTATTAAAACAATTAAAGACCTGAAATATTTCAGTTGGTGTGCAATGAATCTGAAATATATGAAAGTTTCATTTTTATCATTACATTATGGTAAATAATGACCTTTATCACAATATGTTATTTTTTTGAGAAGGACCTGTATATGTATGTATATGTATGTATATATATGTATATGTATGTATATATATGTGTATGTATGTATGTATATGTATATGTATGTATGTATATGTATATGTATGTATATATATGTATATGTATGTATATATATGTATATGTATGTATGTATATATATGTGAGCTCACTTTTGAGCTCACACCTGCCTGCATGCAGTCGCAGTGTGAGATATTTATTATCAGTCACAAGTTCATGACTGCTGTGGGCCCCACACAGCGCACACACAGCCGGTGGGCGCGGACTAAAGTTTTCAGTGCTGTGCTGCACGCGAAAGGATAAACCCACTAGCGATAGCCTTAAAGGGCTGCGCCTATACTCATAGAATCTGGCGTTACAGTACGTAACCAACGATATCTTTAGTAGTGGCAAAAAACTAAAGTATGCCCAAATACTGATGGCCTATTCTTGTCAGTCTAAATAATTGGGTTTATTTGATGAAGGAAAAGATTACCTGTCCTTGAACCTAAACAATCCACTGGGATAAGTGGGTACAATATGTGAAACTCAAAGACAGGTTTTCTGGGAATATGCAACTTAAGGAAATGACGCCTGATATTTTGGTGTGTTATTGATTTTTAGTTATATGTAGTAGTCATAGGCGTCGCAACCATTATATGTGAAGGACACGTGTCTCCCCCCCCCCCCCCCCCCATCCAAAACTGTTCAATTGAACCCCCCCTCCCCCCCCCCCCACACACACACACACACACACATTTACCATTAGTTCAGCCGGTGCCATTTCCCCTCGTGAATAAATCCATTCCACTTTATTAATAGGAGAATACTCAAACCACTAAAAATCCACTCCAGGTTTTCCTGGTTACCTACATCTCTCCAGCAGCCTGCAGTTTCTCCTCTTTGTCTCCTGCCTCGGCTGAGAACACTAACAGGTGGAAAATGGGGAGACATCTGTGTTGCTTGCTTGCCATCTTTTAGCTATGCTTAGTGCGGGCAGTTATTGACCGAGAGGATTGATCATAAACATATATTCCTATTAGGATGCTTGAGAGAAGTGGAGTGCTACGTCTGTAGTATCTTAACTTAGCAGTAACCGTGACGCTGTAAGACGCTGCAGGTGTAAGAGACGCTGTGTGTTAAGGTGCATTAACGTTGAAATGTATTTAAAACCCCACACTTTATTGTCCTCAAACTTCATGAGTAACATCCTTTAGATGAGTAGTGTTGAACACAAGTAAAAAAAGTCTAGTGGTGATGTTTTTTTATTTTTCTATAAATTCAATTCGATGCAATTCAATTCAAACATACTTTATTAATCCCAAAGGGAAATTATTTGTTGTTGTAACTCGTTATCCTCATTTCATTAAGAGATGCTATAGATACTGATGGCTGTAGGCAGGAAGGATCTCTTGTTAAGGTCCATTCCACAGTGGATCCTAAGAAACTGGCTGCAGATGCCGTCCGATCCGTTCACCCAGACTCGACTGGCCTCTCGGTTCACCCGGGCTGTAGGACCACCTGAATGCTGGGCAGAACTCCTCCCAGAGCGATGGCCACTCCTCCCAGCAGTCTGCTGAGCTCCTCATCGCTGCGGACAGCCAACTGTAGGTGCCGAGGGACGATCCTGTCCTTCCACTGTCACGAGCCGTGTTTCCTGTTAGTTCCAGGATCTCAGTGGTCAGGCACTCAAGCACAGTTGGCAGGTAGATGAGAATACGTACACAGAACATCCCTTCAACTCATTTGAGATTTGGGGCTGTAGTTGAGATATTATTTGAGCTTTTGAGATGTTAGTCAGCTGTTTCTGGTTGTAGAAACTGCCTCGTTGCCATGGTTACGCATCATAACAAATGTCCAAAACTAAAAAAGTTTCAGTAAAAATCCTTCCAGCTGCACAGCATCTGATACCAGAGGAAACAATCATCCAAGAAATGTGATTTACATCCAGAAAAAGAGGAATTAAAGTTTCCAAAAGCAAAATCTCAGAATGAAAGTAACAGAACTGCTCCAACATGCAGCCACCTTGAGCGGCGCAATTCTAGAACTTTGTTTATATATATATATATATATATATATATATATATATATATATATATATGTTTACAAACACCGATCTGAGTCTGTGTGTTAAAGTGCATTAAAATTGACGTCTTTAAAACCCACATCTGAATAAACGCGGTGAGAAACATGCTTTAAATGTGTGGATTTAATGTAAGGAAATCTAGGTGAAATATTGCTTTTTTTGTTCACTAGTGTACACTTTTTTGCACACTGGTGCGCACACGCACACACACACATCAGTGTGCCCCCCCCAGATTACAGATGCTTCTGATGCCCTTGGTAGTAGTAGTATGATTTTTGTTTCATATTTTCTAAAGTTATATGGAATATGTTTCTATATGAATATTAATGCAGTTGTATGACAACTAAACTGCAATATTTTAAAGATTTAAACTAATTAAATAGGAGTAATTGTTGTTTGTCAGTACATTTGGAGATGTTATTAAAATACTCTAATTACAGTATATGTTTTTTTAGTTAAATGTATTTTAAAATATCTTCAAAACTCTGCTGCTGAATTTCAGGCCTTTCTGTATAATATGTGTTATGCTTTATTTATTTTTTTCAGTTTCCATCCCTCAAGAAAAAGTTTGACTTCAAAGCACATGAAGGTGAAATCGAAGACTTGGATATGAGTGCAGGAAACAAGGTGAGTCCCTGACCCCAGACAACCCCTTTTTGTCTGAATGTTTATTATTTACAGGTTTAAGTAACTGTCAATATGTTGGGCTTTCATGCAGCACCTTGTGACCGTTGGTCGGGACTTTACCTGCAACGTTTGGACTGGTAACCAGCTAACAACAAAACTGAACTGGCTTGAAACTATGCCTCAAATTGCTGAAAAGTCTTATCGATATCTGGCTTGCAGGTAAATAAAAAGGAAAAAGTTGGCTCGTCACTTTCTTTGTCTGTAGATAAAAACTGCAAGATCATTTCAGCTTTTCCTGGTTGAGAACCATGGCTTAGGACTCGAAGCTGGCTTTCAACCCAGATGTTTCAAACACAAAAGTAAACTGCTCAAATGTAAACAGACGTAGACGTAGTCACACTACCATGACACTAGGCGTGTGAATCTCTCAGTATCTTTCGATTCTAATCGAATTTTTGGTGTCACGATGCGATTCAAAATTGATTTTTCGATTCAGAAGCAATTTTCGATTCACAAACGATTTTTCTATTGAAATGGTCATACATTTTGTTTCAATTGTGTAACTGACAAGCTGAAATGAAAAAACAACAATGTAAACAAATAGAACATTTATTTAAAACAATCATTTTAGGTTCCTTAGCATATCAAATATTTTTGAGTCATTTTATATTTATACCAAAAATAAGACAAACTATAGGAGTGCATAAAATTCTGTAACTTAAATTACCAGTATTAGGTTAGCTTAGCTGCATGAATTTTTCTTGAAAAAATAATAAAAAAAATAAAAATTTAGGAACAAATAATTCATCCATCCATCATCTTTACCCACTTCTTCCTTTATGGGTCATGGGGGTCACTGGTGTCCATATCCAGCCATCACTGTGTGAGAGGCGGGGACACCTGGACAGGTCTCCAGTCCATCACAGACAAATAATTCAAAATATATAAATAGAAAACAGACTTCAGCCTAGCATAGTGCATTAATCTTTAACTCAACATAAAATACAGACTTCACAGTTATTTTTAACCATATTGCACTAACATTTGTTATATTTTCAAAACTTAACCTAATATGAAATATACAGACTTCACAGTTTTAACCATATTGATTCATATTTAGTAAATATTTAGCAAAATTTCAAAACCTGTGGAAACCTGCACAAAAATTTCTGAACTGTAATAATTTAAAAACCATAAATTGTATCATTTAGAACTGGCTCCAGGTGATGTCTCATCTGGCCTCTTCAACCTGTTAAAAGACAAATTACTTTAAGTTTGTTGTACAACTTCTCTAGATAAGTTTTAGTATAAAATGAGAAAAACAGTTATCTTTGAGCTGCAGCTGCATCAGAGCTTCTCCCATTTGTTGTTTCATGGTGAAGATGCGGTGCTGCTTTATTGCAAAAAAAAAAAAAAAAAGCTACGTGAATGTATAACGTGCATTGGATCCAGCGTATTAAAAATAAAACTAAACCCCTCACCTTCCACTGAGCTGTTTGCTCGAAAATCCTTTGTGATGTAGCAGGAGAAGGAGAGGGAAATCTTTACAGCCTTTGGGGAATCAGCTGGAAGTTTGTTGCAGAGTTCGCTGGTTGGCTGCTTCGCTTTCATCTTTCACGCATTTTGTCATATCTCCAAAATACTGTCCCGCAATTTTATTTTACACTTCTTGCAAACAACCATGCTCTTGTTAAGCTCGGTCTTCCCCCGGAACATTGTAGGATCTGAAATTATGTTTAAAGACGAAGAAGTGGGTTGATTGAATCGCGCTGTCCACCATGCTAGCAGGCGCCATTCAGAAAGGAGCTGGCTAACTTTTTTTTTTTTTTTTTAGGAGCTGGCTAACTAGCTTGCTGTACGGTGGCCTACACGGCCAAAATTCTGCGGCAGCTGAGCGGGGAGTAAGAATTTAAAACGCATTTTAAAATCGATTTATGGGCCTTTCAAAACGATTCATAATCGCCAGGACTTAGAATCTAGATTCTTTAAAAAACTCAATTTTTTTTTCTGCACCCCTACATGACACCTAAGTAACTCTGTAAGGGTAAAGATCTAGTCCACTGTTTCTTGACCCAGACAAAATTTTCTCTCTTCCTTCTGAATCTGATGTTTGACAGTCAGTCAAAGAAACAGCCAGGAGTAAACTTTCCCAGGGAGTCTGAGAATTGTGATTTGTCGATAGGTAAAACATCCTCTTCTGTCCTGATGCATGCTCAATAATCCAGGTAAAAGAAAATCTAAAAAAAGTTAAGTCAGGTCCTGTGGACGGTTTCAAAAAACTCTTCAGTCCATCTTTTCTTAAAAAATGGGAAGTAGCACACCTGTCTGCTACTCTGCAGGCATTGTCCTGGTCTCCCATGTGACAGTGAAGAGACGTGTCAAACATGACAACCCCACAACTTCCAAATAGGAATGTGCGATATATACTGTACACGGTAGAAACGATAGACATGTAGCCTACGATAGAGATCTGTATTCTACTAGCTAACTGCAGTAATGCTGTGTCTGATGTAAAATCAGAGTTGTCAGATTTAATTGTTACTTTTTTTAGTTGAAAACTGTGCGTAAGCGGTGGTAAAGTCATTTATTCGAGAGCTAAGTAGCGAAGCTACAATCTAACTACAGCTCGCTTGCCATAGTATTGCTGTATTTGGACACATGCGCAAAATGCTGTGTTCCGTCGAAAGTTTTTAGGGTTTTTTTTCTCTCGTCGAAAGTTAAAGTAAGCGTCGGTCAGCTTTAAGAGGAACCTGCTCTCTGATCTGTGAAAAGAACACTGTGTTGTGTGATTTTACTGCAAGACCCTCTGGTCAAAGCCACAGAGGAAACTGGTCGCCATTTTTTGTCAGCTCTCCTTAAAGTGGAAGGAGATGCCCACTAGAGGGTTGGAGGGTGAAGTGTTTTAAGTTTGCACTTGCTGCTCTGTTGCTGTTCATTTCTTAAGTGCGAAATCTGGAAACTGTTAAGAGTTAACAACATATTATTTTGTTTGAAACATATGGCTAAAACTACATTTGCCATCTTTTGCACTGTTTTGCACTACAAGAAAGAAGCCTAATACTTTATTTGTTTTTATTTAAAAACTCTCTGGACCTAGTGGTTTAATTTTCTTAATTGAGATTACTTTGTGGTACAGCAGTTTTCAAAATAAATTATGGCAACAGGACACCCTATGCTTTTTTTTCATTCCTATTGCAAGTTTTATACCAAAAACATTGTGATGTATATCATTATCGCCACCCTTCACAATACATATCGCAATATGAATTTTATGCCACATCACACATCCCTACTTCCAAAGCATCCTTCAGCATCTCAGAGTGAATCTCGTCCACCCCTGGCATCCTCAATTCAATTCAGTTTATTTATATAGTGCCAAATCACAACAAAGTTGTCTCTGGGCATTGAACAGGAACATTCACATACATAGAAAAGCCAGTTAGTAAAGTTCTCTATCTAAGGAAGTCAGCAGACAAGTTGAATCTTGGCTTCGTTGCAGTCTCCCATCCTGAGCAAGCACAATGGCAACAGTGGAAAGGAAAAACTCCCTTTTAACAGGAAGAAACCTCCAGCAGAACCAGGCTCAGGACAAGCGGCCATCTGCTTTGACCGGCTGGGTTGAGAGGACAGAAAGGAGAGACAAACACAGAATGGCAGGTCCAGGTGTACCTGAAAGACAAAAACACATGTCAAGGATAGAAAAAATAACACAAATAGAAAACAAGTTCAGCAGAGTAAGTAAAGACAGTAACAGAGTGAAGAAATGTGGTCAGTTTGTCCTCCAACAGTCTAAGCCTATAGCAGCATAACTAAGGAATAGCTCAGGAAATTCAAGCCAAACTTAACTATAGGATTTATCAAAAAGGAGAGTCTTAAGCCCAGTCTTAAAATTGGACAGTTTTCTGACAGATGATTTTACCTTTTACCTGTGACATTTGCTTTCTCCTGAGTCCTCACACTCTGCCTTCTCAAAGGTGGACATAACTGCTCAAAATGTGCATTCCACTATTGGACTGTATCTTCAGTCAGGGTCAACAGTTTCACACTTCAGCCAAGTGTGGCTTGGACCGGGGCCTGTTTTTCTTTTCTGTCTCACTCTCAACATGAATCATGCTCTATAATCCAGGTAGAAAAATCCAACAAATTTAGTCAGGTCACCTGGACGAGTGTTTTGTTGAAACGTTTCGTCTTTCATCCAAAATACTTCATCAGTCCAAGGAGCTACAACAGACTCAGTCTTATAAATAGCACCTTCATAGTGTGCCAACCAGTTTGATGGTGCTAAGATGGTGGGGGAGAGGGTGGACTCCAGAGAAACGGGTATTTTCAATTTATTGAATTTTGTGAAACGTAGACAGGATGCTTCACGATGAGGCACACATGACCCTGTTCCAACTTTTCTGAGACATGTTGTTGCTGTGAAATTCAAAAGAAGGGTGGGACATCCCCACCCCCCCAAAAATGGGAAAAGATGTTAGTTAACTAATTAACGTTTGATTTGTTTACTGTGTTTTACAGTGAATACAGTGTTGGTTTACAAGATTTGCAAATCATTGCATTCTGTTCTTGTTTACATTTTACTCGATGTCCCAACTTTTTGGCATTGGGGATGTACATCTCGTGAAGCCCAGATGGCAGAGAGTCCTACTGGTTTGAACTGGTCTGGGTAATAAGAATTGTCGTATGTTGTAGGACCTGTGTCTCAGACTTCCAGCACTTGTTGGACTCACAGATATGTAGCAGATCCAAGACTTAGTTTGTTTCTTTGTGTGCATGGAATGGTGTTAGCTTGTCCAGTTGGATTACTAGTTCAGAGCTGTCGCTATGGAGACAAGTTTCAGTCAAAACACACTCTGTTTTTGTTCTGTGTGCAACAGCAGCAATATATCATCCATCTTGTCATCCAAACGATGGATATTTGAGCGGAAAAGGTGATTGTAAATTGGCTGGTTGGATGGTTGGTTGGATGGATGGATGGATGGAATTGAACAAAGTTGTACTTTGTGGGTCCTAAGTAGTCTGAGCCCAGCGACTGACACACAACTCATGCTGTGCATCTTTCTCCAGTCAGCAGACCTTCACCTCAGAATGTTCTCCATAACAGAAAGTCCTAGTAAAGTGCTGTTTTCATGTTCTCTCAGTGCACATGTGGGTTTTTCTTCAGATACTCCGGTTTCCTCCCACAAGCGTAAAATTTGCACATTTAGGTTAACTGGTAA